GGGATGCCCCTTGTTTTTCAGCTTTGTGCCACAATATATTTGTATATATATGTATGTGTGTGTGTGTGTATGTGTGTGTATATATATATGTGTGTGCATATATATATATGTGTATATATATCTGTATGTCCTATTTTATGTGTGTATGTGTATTTATATTTAAGTATATTTCTGTTTGTATGAATGTGTTTATATATTTGTATGTTAGACTATATGTATATTGCTGTGTGTTGGTGTTTGAAGGTATATTTATGTATCTATATGTTAGTTCGTTTATATATGTATTTGGTTGAAAGTTGTTGTATTTTTATGTATGCATGTATATATGGGTGGTTGTTATTGCAGGTAGATATATTTATGGATATATATATATGTTTATTTGTAGATATGTATGTATGTGTGTATATATTTTATGTATGTTTGTGTATGTATATATATATAGGTGTGTGTGTTGGAACCTATTATGTATGAGTTTGTGTGTATGTGTAGGTATGGAAACTTTGGTATATCATGACTGTTTTTTATATATCTAAGTATGTGTGCATAAAAGTCTATGTGTGTATATATGTGTGTGTGTATTTAGGTTTATATGTATATGTACGTACATATGTACTTGTTATCATAGATATGTATATGTACGTATATGTTTATGTTTATATATTTATTTGTGTGTATTTCTGTACGTATATGTATGTATGAATATATATATATTTATTTTTTTTTTTATGTGTGTTAATTTGTTTTTGCTGCCGTGTATATATATATATATATATATATATATTTTGTGATTTCTTTATCCTGTTTTTCTTTGCCAAATATATAATGAAACTATTATCAACTTATATGATTAATAATATATATATTTTTTTATTGATATTTATTGTTTTAGAGTTTTCGTTTTAATATATTAAATAATATTATTTTAAACATTTTTATCTTTATATATTTGCTCCCTTAAGTTATAATTCAATAAGTGGTTAGCATTTATTTAAGTCTGAAATATTTACTGGTTGTGATTTCTCAATGTCTATGACATTGTGGATGTATGTTTGTGTACATATCGGTGTCTATGTGTATGTAGAGTGTATTCACATTTAACTGTGTGTGTGTATAAGTGTTAGTTTCCACGTCTCCTTTTTTCGTAAAGGGCTGTGGAGTTGTTCATGTATTCCCCCACCTCTTCCTTTTTTTTTTTTTTTTTTTTTTTTTTGTGTGTATATTTGTGTGTGTGTGTGTGTGTGTGTGTGTGTGTATCTAATTATGTCTGGATGCGTATGTATTATAATCTGATTGTGTTTTTTTTGTTGTGTCACGCGTGAGTTTAAGACCATATTCACAAACTTTAAAATAAAAACGGAAAAGAAAAAATATATACATGTATTATCAGATGACCGGACGAATTGTAGCTTTTGTCTTGTCAGACGTAATTTCAATGAAGAAATGAATTGAATAAACATATATATTTTTTTCTCAATAATTTTGTAGTTTTTATACTTAATAGTGATTAAATTTGGATTTTTAAAAATTGCCAGTTTTTAATTTTTAATTTTAATATTAAATTTTATCATATAAATTTATAATTATTAGTTAGTAAAAATTATTTTTAATATTACACGTATTTAAAAATCTAAATAGCTATAATAGCAGGATTTTGTTGTCAAGCTTTTGAATCTTTCTGTACTTCGTTTTTGATTGGTTATTCTAGCTTTTGTAACAATGCTCCCCCTAGTGTAGGATCGTTAATTCATCTGAAACTTTTAAAACCATTTATTTTTTTCTTTTCAACACCATCACTTGATAAGACACAGAGTGTGTTGAAACAAAATGGCTATTTTTGTAGTGATTTTATAACATACTTATGTTATAAATTTTTTTATAAAAATAATTATATCTGCTCTACTTTGTATTGAGCACTCTTTTAAGAATAGTAATTGTTGGTTATTGGAATTCATTCCGTGTATACCAATTATATACTTTTATATATATATATATATATATATATAGGTTTCAATCCCAGCTTGAAGCAATCAGATGTCTAGCCATACTGATGAGCTGTGATAGTGAAACAGGCTTGTATGCGGATGACTATGTTACACTCTCATCATTTTGATTGAGCACTATTGAGAAAAAAAGTAATTCCAAAATAGTAGCCATCACCACTATTAACGGGCTGCTTTTCATTAATGAATTGAGCACTTTGGCTGCTGGCATTGACTGGGCCTTTGGCTTGTTCAGGAATTTGAGAGTCTTTAAGTCTTTGTATATTCTCAGCATTGGAAGCTCTCTAGGCTGTTGTTTGATCTGGGTTTTCATTTGCATAGGATTTCCCCCCACCCCCTCACTGCAGCCTTGGTTCTTTTGATTGCAATCTGGTCCTCTGTTGACAGAGATTTCTTTTTGCGAGGCATACTGCTGCAGTAAGTGATATGCAACAACAGAACTCAAAATTGATTGCTGCATTTAAGTATTGCATTAATATTTAAGCTTTCCTTTTAAAAGTTCAATGATAATTTTTCTGCTGCCACTTAATTTAAAGACAATTTGATGTGCGTAGGTCCTTACTTTCCATACAGACAATTGTTTTCATTTCATGGATGACTTTCACTGGATTTCACAATTTAGATTATTCCTAAATTTATTTCCAAGTTATAAAAATTGTAAATGCACAAAAAAATCTGTCATAAAAACCATATTAAAAAAAAAAATGCCAAAAACAATCGCAATAATGAAAACTTGGGAATCCAAAATTCCCATAACACGAACTATTGAAAGTTAGAAAATTGTATCCCTTTAATTAAAAAGTGTGACACAGGGACCCATTGACATTCACATTTATTATATAGATATAACCCTGTACAAAATCTTGAAAAACTGAAATCAGATCTGACATAAAATATTATGCACACACACAGATATATATTTACTTACATTTAATATTAGAATAATGATAATAGATACATCTTAATTTTGTTTCTTTGTGAAACTAACTCCCAAAAGGATACTTCAAGTCTAGGTTTAACTGTTAGCTTCCTGACATATCCCAGTAAATTGTGTGTCTTATTCTGTAACACTTTAACCGAGTATGGCTCTTGGGTGAACATTATTGTAAAAAAAAATAAAAAATAAAAATAAAAAAGTGCTCCATATCAGAGATAGACAAATACAAAGTTTGATATAGGCTAATGTTTTTAAAATCACCTTTAAATCATTTACAATCCTGTCCATTACAATTTGATACATTATTTTAATACAACTCAATATTATTATATATATATATATATGTGTGTGTATAATATTGTAAGTAAATGTCTGTGTATGTATATAAAGTTTGGATGAGAATCTGTTAAATTTCTAAATATGCAAGACAACTTGGAAAGCCTCTAATCAGATATGTTTTGCCAATGAATTGTTTGAAATAAAATCCATTTTTCTGATGATGCCAGCTCATGGGATTAACATGTGAAATTGAAGTGTTACAAATTGTTATATATAAAATACAATTTTATATATATATATATATATATATATATATATATGTATGTATGTATGTACCCAAGTATAGGATTGGTGTATATGGAATAAATTCCAATAACCAAAAATACTATTCTTAAAATAGTGTTCAATACAGAGTAGAGCAAATATAATTATTTATTCGAAAATTATAACATTAATATGTTATAAAATCACTACAAAAATAGCCATTTTGTTTCAACACTTCTGGTGTCTTATTAAGTAATGGCGTTGAATGTAGAATAAAGGGTTTTAAAAGGTTCAAATCAATCAAACACACCTCACTAGGGGAAATGCTATTACATAAGCTGGAATGACCAATCAAAATACAAGTATATGAGAATTCAAAAAACTTGACAATGAACCTTGGTTATAATAATTAATTAATGCTTTAATATTAGGGTTTGAGTTCCCGGTTTATTTAATATTTTAAGCTTTAGTTTTTGCTTTGTTTTTTTTTTGTTTTTTTTGTGTGTGTGTGTATATATATATATATATATATATATATATATATATATATATATATATATATATATAGCATGACAATTACATTCAAGCATGAAACAGACCGTTGCTGCTGAGTGCTGTTCACTTTTATATTTACATACTCTCTAGCCCCAATATTAAGCACTTTTTAACAAATAAATATATCATACCTTAAAATTATATTTTTTTTAATCACACACACACACACACACACACACACACAAGGGAGAGGTTATAGTTGTTCCAATGAAAGAAAAGTGTATATTTTAAAAAAGAGAAGCTGCAAACATACTGACCAGGTTTGATGTTGCTTAATTGCAGTGATTGGGCAAGAACTGGTATTTAAACGTGACATAGCCTTAAGTCTATAATACTACCTGTACATCCAAGCTTACAGTACCTGGTATTGCAAAGCGGTCACTCATCTAGGTACTGACTAGGCTCAGCATTAACTTCAGTGATTGGTTGAGAAATGTGGTTTAAATGTGATATAGGCATAAGCCCTAAATCTGCATAACCAGTGATTGTACAGGAACTGATGTTTCAATGTGATATGGCCATAAAGCCAGAAAATATTTTTAGATTCTAAGAATTTTCGGTGATAATAATTATTATAATTTTACTAATTAATCTATAACTGGTGGAAGAAGAGGTTGGTACATACCTTTGGTAAAGGTATTTTCATGTAATTGAATAAATAAGACAGGTATCATGAGCCGCTTCCTATAATCATGGACATTATGATTAATATCAGTTTCATTTCAATTTTATCGTATAAAAATTTTAATATTTATGAATATCAGTTTCTTGAGTTTTTAAAAATCTTTTTTTTAATATTATCATCCAGTTATTGTTATCAAAAAACGTCAGGTCAACGAAAAGAAGCAAACACAATAAGTAGTTTCCTGAACATATCTGCACACGCATACGCACACAATTATTTGCCTTTTCTTACACATTTATAGACAACTACTGCACATAAATAAATAAAACTTATGACTTACCCTTTCATGGTAACGAATAGCCTTTTGAAAATCTCCTAACAGATAGTAGGTGTTGCCGAGGTTACCACAGGCTCGTCCCACAGATGCCACATCCCCTAATTCCTGTACAATCTCTAGGTTTTGTCTGAAAGAAGAAGAGATCGAACAATCGTCAATTAAAAACAATGCCCTAGAATATGACAACAAACTGCGGTACCTACCAAATAAACTTGACAAAGAACATCGTTAGGTACGCCAGTGTGTATCGAGTAAAAAGAAATCCCAAACAGACAAGTGTACGGCAGTCTTAAACAATGTGATGAATAGTTTGGGAAGGAAAGAGTCAGATTATAGATGAAACTACTTTGAGTTGTTTTATGAGTATAGTGACGAATGTAGAGTGATATGGGAGTGAACAAAAATTTAAGCAAAGGAGGAAGCGGGGGGTGAGGATGGGAGATGCATGGCTCACAGTGTGACCAGTGGTTGACTTTATAAAAATGTCATCTTCTACTGTTGTTTTTGTTGTTGTTTACCAATTGCTCAATTTTTCAAAATTCGCATTTACAGAAATAGGCCCACGCATGTGTGTGTCTGTGAATATATAATATATATAATATAATATATAAGTATGTGTGTGTGTGTGTGCATGAGAGAGTGAGAAGTGCTGAAAAGTTTTCAGCCTAATAAAGAAGAAGAGCTTCTAAGGGAAAGAAATTTTTTTTTTTACCAAATTTACCACAAGAAAGGCAGTAAAGCAACTAAGACACAAGGTGTTATTGGGCGTAAAAGAAATAGAAAACGGAAAAGGAATGAGAACAATAGAAGAGTAATCAGGAAGACAGTAGATAACAATTGACATTGCATTTAAATTTTTGAAGATCAAATTTGGCTAGAAGAGTGTTCCACAAGCAATAAGTGCAAGAAAAGAAACGGTTGTGACAGAAGTTACAGTTACATCTAGCCAATCCAACTGTAAATTGATGAGACTTTGTTACCAATCTAGTACTGCACTTAAATTCATAAAGCCCAGGTAACATAGCAAAGAGTTCATCCGAACAATTACCATGAAAGTATTTATAGTAAAGACACAGGGTGGCAACTTTTATGTTTATTGGAAAGTGACTGAAGCCGAGAAGCCAGGTCAGGACAAATAATATTGCTGTTTCTTCTTTGGATTTTATCAAGGAGCTCTAGATAAAATGCAGGAGTATCAGACCATATGTGGCAGCAATATCTGAAGCATGTATGAATGGTAAATTTATAGATATGTAAGATGAATTTTGGAGAGAAAAATTGTCTAGCATGATACAGTGAACTAACATTCTTAGCAGCCAACCTAGCAATGGATTCAATATAGTCTTTCCGCTTCATGTCAGCTCAAGAAGGTGCAATGAGTTCCTCTCCTGGAGGTTAGCCTCAGCTATTCTGATGAGATGTAAAAAGGGGTCTCTCAGATGTTCGGTCAGATAATGAGAAATGGGTCAGGCTGAGAATTTTCAGTACACGTGTGTGTGTGTGTGTGTGTGTGTGTATGAGAGAGAGAGAGAGAGAGAGAGAGAATATTTATAAGCAGGCAATGAGGTCAACAACTGAGCAACAACAGTATGTTTCATGCCTGAATGCAATCTGATGGTGTTCCCACATGAAACAGACTGTCACCATTCAGTACTGATTTCAATATCCACTTTTAAATTTGCATATGATCTCTCACTAATATGGAGCACTTTTACCCATAAATATAGGATACCTTAATACTATATTTTTCTCATATATACAGGGTGCAACAGGTAAATTGTCACCACATATTTTTCACTTCATGCATACAAGTTTTTGATTTTATCGACTGCACAGTATAGTAGGGTCAGTTGGGCACTGTCAACAAGAAATAGAGCACAATGATGCAATTCATTCTGCCAGAAATTGGGAAATGGCATGCTGTTTTGCTTGCTGTAAGTGCCAAAACAAACATTTCAGAGTGTTTGGGTATCAATCTGAGGACTGTACAAGGCATTTGTAAGAGGTGGATGAGTTTAATGGTAATTACGAAGGTGTTTGGAGTGATCACTAGTGATATCGACATTATATCTCCATTCATCTTTCCACAGGGCATCAGACTTAACATGGAGCACATGACCATGACATTATAACACAGAGAAAAAAATTCCATAATGGATAATTTTTTTCATGTTCTAATGAACGCTCGCTCAGCCCATTGTCAATCATTTACATTTAAAAGTATAAGGAAAAATTACAGTAATGAACAGCAACATAAAGCTTTGTATAAATACTTTGTGGTACCCACTGAACAACATATAGTTTTGTATTACTTGCACCCCGGAAGAAGATCGAAAGTACTTAGTAAAATAAAGAGAAAAGAAATTTAAACAGTTATAGCATATTTCTCTCATCCTTTAATATCAATAAACAGAAGATTATTTGTGAGTATAAATGGATTTTGTTAAAAATTAGCAGACATAACGTCTGTAATTTATACAATCAGATATATATATATATATATATCTACACACACACACACACACACACAGACCCACACAAGGTATATTTAGGCAGCAAGAATTAATTGATCTGGACAATATTTACATTATTTGGACTATTGTCCTCATCTTTGTCGCCATATTTATTACAATGTTTCGGCCGTTGTACGCTCCGGCCTTCTTTAGGTGGTTGGATTGTCGAACTGAACACTTTATTTCATTCACTGGGGGTAGACTGTTCTAGTTCCATGTGCCATATTTAATGGATGTCAGTTATCTTCTGTTAATTCCCCTATCTGAGTTTCTCAACTGCCTTATACCGGTATTGAACTAACACTCTTTGGGTCCTGTCACTGGATCTAACCAACGCCTTAATCTACTGTGCTATGTGTCTGTGTATGTCCTGTGTATGAATTTCTGGGTATTATAAACCTAATGTCATGGCACGTAGAACTAAAACAGTCTACACCAGTGAGCAAAATAAAGGGTTCAATTTGACATTCCAACCACCTGAAGAAAGCTGGAGCATACAACAGCTGAAATGTTGTAATAAATATGGTGACAAAGACGAGGACAATAGTCCAAATAATGTAAATAGTGTACATAATACCTCATCTAGGAAATATAGACAGATACTGATCTGGATAAGTTTTGTTAAATTCAACTGACAACATCTGTTTATTTAATTTTTCAGTATATTTTTCTAATTTCTGAATATGGTATTGTATATCACAATTAAAATTATGAATAAATTATCCTTAGTATCCAAAAAATCTTTGGATAGTCTATTAGTTAATTTATAATTTTAATCCTGATATACAATATTTCAGTCAGAAAATGAAAAAAATGAAATGTTTGTATATAGGTATATGTAAATTATTTCCAGAGAGTGCATCTGTGAAGGAAGAAAATGAATAAAAAGATGAGAGGAAAAATTATTCTTTGCTGACACATTTCATCCTCTGAACGACTATCAAGGCAAATGTCTTGATAAAGTCCCTCAGAGGATGAAATGTATCAGCTAAGTATAGTTTTTCCTTGTCTTTTTATTCATATATATATATATATATATATATATATATATATATTGAATTATCTGTAAGAACAGGAAACAAGCAAGTAATGAGAGGCTAGTCACTTAAGAAGAAACCAAATGACTTTGACAGTACTGATGACAAAAGGCTTGAATTGTTACCATAGCAATAACTTAGTGACTAAAAAAAAAAAAACAAAACAAAAAAAACAATACACTAGCAAAAAATAAAAATTCCCCCACCCACAAAAAAAGGAAGGAGGAAGTGAACCAAAAATAAATAGTACAATTTCCATAAAACAAGCATTTCACTATTTTCTATTTCATTTTCTTTCTCTCTCCCCAAATCTTAAGAATAAAAAGCCATGGAAAGGGCCAATGTTAAAATAATGTTTGGCAAAGTGCGGGCACATACTTTGTGTGTGTGTGGGAGGGGGTAGTGTGTTTCTTGAAGGAGGAAAACAATTAGACAGAAATAACCTCACAAAGTCAAGAAGTACTGAAGGAGTTTTGCAACTGTTCTTTACAAAATACCCAATCAAAATGGAGCAGACAATAGAGATTGAGAAAAACATGAATTGTATAATTTAAGGACATTATTTCCTTAATATATACGTGTTATATGTATATATGTGTGTGTGTGTGTATATATATATATATATATATATGTGAAAAGTGTATATAAATATAAATAAATATATATATGTATAATTATTTATATATTATATGCGCGGTACTTATTAGAAAGTGCTCAATATCAGAGATAGAGCTAACATATTTGGTTCCAAATATATATATATATATATATATATTTGTGTATTTGGGCAGTAATCCCTCTTGTGATTAAGTTTTTTATTTAATTTTTCTTGTGGTCATATAATTTCTTACCTTTTCATAAGTATATAAAGTATGTAAAAATTATACAAACACAAACACATATTGGGGGATATTGTATGATTAAGTCCAATGAAATCCTGAAGGGCAAAACTTGTCATGAGTAAACTTTTTCCACTTTGTCATACAAGTGTCCCAGTATTGTTCTTAATATATAAAAATATATATCGTTATCTCATACACACACAAGTTTCATTAAAAACTACTGAAAAGGTGCTGCAATTAAGTTATTTGTATGGAATTTTTTTATTTATGTATCTATAATTATAGGACTACATACAAACGCACACACATATATATATAAAAATGTGTATGAAAATATATATATATATATATATATATATATATATATATATATATATATATATATATATATATATATATGAAAATGTGTATGTGTGTATATATATATATATATATATATGAAAATGAAAATGTATATATATATATATATATATATATATATATATATATGAAAAAATGTGTATATATATATATATATATATAGATGAAAAAATGTGTGTATATATATATATATATATGCAATTTTTTATATATATTATTTATATCTTATATATGCGTAGTTATTGGAAAGGGCTCAATATCAGTGATAGAGCTAACATATTTAGTTGGACTGATGCGTGTTTGTGACCCTGGGTTTCATGCTATTTGTGATCATCAGACAAACTGATTAATTTTTAAATTTTGGATTTATATATGGTTGTGCATATCGGTGATTTTATGTTAGTGTCAGGAAAACTTGTCGTTGGAACGCCATTCATATGTACGCAAGCATACATACACGCATGGTCTCTCATT